GGGGGGCTTGTCCCGGCAGCCCTGCCGGCGGCTGCCTCTCGCCTGCTCTTGCACCCGGGCTTTCCACTCGGTTGGTCTCCGGAAATCCATATATGTGTGTATTTTTTTTTTTCTTCCCTTTTCTTAAAACCTTGAATTACTTTCCCAAATGACAGCAGCAGCGGGGCCCTGCTCGGCCCGGAGAGATGTTTGGCGACTAGCTGGCACGTGGCTTAGGAGCCCAACGGCAGAAGTCCACACCGGCCTGATGTCTCGGTTTCTGCTTTATGTGGCCACACAGCTTCCCTCTGGGAACAGACCTCCTCAACTTTTCTCTTAATTATTATTTTACTTTTTATTTTAGGCTGGAAGTGGTCTTTGAGCTTGTTTTATCTCTCCTTTTGTGTAACGCAGGCCAGGGCTGCTGCGCCGGTGGTTGAGTCGGCAGGTAGCACCTACGACAGGGTCCATCCTCCTTGGAAAGGTGCCTGGGAACGTGCTGTGCCCTTTGGAAAGCCGGGCTGGAAGCAAATCGCCCTTGGTTGGGGCGGGGGGGAACAGTGTAGGTTTGCTGCTTGTTGTCATCCTGACTTCCACCGCTCCGCCGGCGGCGGTTGTCTGCGGCACAACGAGTTATTTTGAGGAGTGGGGCAGCGCCGCGGGCATGGAGGGGAGCGGAGGCCCGGAGACGAAAGGTAAATCTGCTGAGATGATCAGGAGCCGGCTTCTCGCGGGGAGCGGCGAGGGGCGGCGGGAACCCGAGCGGTGCTAGCGATTCCCCTCGAAGGACCTGCCGAGGTCTCCTCCCCTCCAGGCTTTACTTGCATGAGCTGGCCTTATGCAGGCTGTCATCCCCGTGCTGATGGAAGGGAAACGCTGCGACGCCTCTGGGCGCGCGTCTCTCCGAATTTCCAAGTCTCGTGCGGTGGCTGCGTGCTGGGGTGTTTTTGTCTGGGTGGGGTTTTTTTAAGTGTCATTTTTGCCTCCCGCTGAGCCTCTTGCATCTTGGCTTGGTGTCCCGCGTTCACCGGTGGCAGGCCCCGTCGGCAGGGACCGTCGCTCCCGCTCCGCGTCCCCCGGGGGTATGGACGGGTGGCCCCGGGGCACGGCTGGAGCTGGCGAGGGGGCGTCCGTCGTGCGTCGTGAGCTGCTGCGCTTCCCTGGCTTCCCCCTCCTGCAAGCGTGCTCGCTCCGTTCCCGGCTTGGTCCACAGTGGCAGACTCCCTTTTTATCTCCTCTTTTCCTCCCTGAGGCTCGCTGTCCCTCGCCCCTTGTTTGAGGCTGTGGGCAGCCCGAGAGCTGCGTCCGCGAAGTTGAAAGCGGAAGGGAAGCGGCTGGCCCCGCGGGCGGGGGCC